CAGTTCAGATATTTAATATTTTATAAGCGACTTGGATCCTCTAGTACTTGAAATGTCACGCAGCTGCGATAAGATTTATGGTTTGAGTCCTGTTAGATCCCCAGGGCTTTGGGCGTTAGAATGCTGTATGTAGCCTTTTAAGATGGACTCTGTACTGTTTTTAAGAGCTGACAGCAAATATACCGCATAGACAGTCCGTTCTGCGACTTAAAACGCTACATAATATAAGAAATTGAAAGAATCGTTCAATAAACAAACAATTAAAAGCATGAATCACTTATGGAACACAATTATTATATCACCAGTTGCTCTGTTGTTAAAGCATTCAATGATGATAACGGAAATGAAACATTCAACAATGACCACAACAATGGAAACAACTCATAACAATGACAATGGTAAAATTAAGAGTAAAATAGATTCAAGAAATTATTCACTGTTCTCAATGTGACAGAACAGTGACCACACTTCTGCGGAATTCATGGACTATCCTGTTCCAGCAAGAAAATGATAAAAAATATAGTTTTTTTAAAAACTAATTCAATGTAACTAAATCTAACTATGACCAACATATCTTACACCAGAATCATGATTATGGTTTCGTAGATAATACATAATGGACATATTGAAAATAGCATATAAAGGACGAAATCTCGATATCTTAGAAATATATTATATATATATATGATCTCGCAGTCAGCAGAGACAAAATTAAATATTACTGACAGTAAGTTGGCAACATTGAATTTCCTCAACACATACACCCCACCCGCTAGCAGCAGCACGGTAGACTTCCACCTCACACCCCCGCTCGACAGACCGCGTATTGCCCAAACGAAGTCCACCAGATAGCAAGACGAGATATCAAACCTTTCACAGTATTATAACCACTCTGTATGTTAGCATAGACATACAAGAGACATTGGCCTAGAATAATTAGACTGAATACCCAAAACATCGGACAATATTATAACCAAAATGTATATTAACACAATTTCTCTATTCATTTACTTCCAACAAGAAACCGTACTTATGACAGTGTATCATTTGCACATACCTTTGTCGAATGCAGTTATTACGAAGTCGAAAAGCGAAGTCCAACACCAGAAAATTGTAGAAAGCTCCTCTGCCATTTCAAATATATTCCATTGCACTTATATAACACCAATAATCACCAAACAAATTTAATTATTAATACGAGCTGTTATCTCGCTGCAATCACGCCTACGCCATTTTGCCGACCGAGGGGTTGAAGATGTCACAGATAACGGAACTAGCAAAAACACCGCTTGCATAAAAAAAAGTACGTTCGGTTTTATGACTGGGCAAGCATGCGGATTTCGTAATGTGATTCACTGTTAGCCATGAGTTCGGTTGGTATCACTAGCTTCGGGGGAAAAAAGTTGAAGATTAATACGCGTTGCAAAGAAAATGCGATACCCGTATCTACATGAACACAAGCGTAATCTTGCATGTATAAAACGTGGCTTCTAATTTTCATTCACGAGACAGGCTAACCTAACGGGAGGTTTTCCGCAGTACTTTTAGTACACTGCTATCTTACAGTTGTATTATATTATTGTATTTTAGAATTATCACACACATGCGGACTTCATTTTTACGTTTCAAGCGAAAATCTATAATTCTTACTCAAATGAAACCATCTTACACGTTACAAAAGCCCACCATTGGACACAATCCTCAGCGGCAAGCGATGTCACAAAGAGAAACTTTAATGTATTCCCATCTACTTCTTGGTCATTCATGTGGACGTTATCCAAGAGATTTTCGTACTAAAATTTTGGAAGCAAATTAAGTAAATTTCTAACACAGTCTACTTAAACTTTCTTAGGTGTAAATATTATCAGAGGACTTGGTCTTTGAACACTCTCAAAGCAACTTTCCGTCAGAAAGTCTACGAGACCATTTCGTATCGTATATTTTCTTGTAGTCTTTATGGCCACTTTGGAGGCCGAGAATGGACCTCTACCTCCTACGCGATGGGATCGCGGGTTGTAGTCCAGCTCGAGGCCTGTATGCATTTTTTGAACTTCGCATTTCGATGGACTGAACACATGTAACGAGACAGTACAGCCTGTCTGAGTAAATACATCCGCGTAACAAAATCCTTTTTGAGAATTCAACAAAAGCTAAACTAATCAATAAATTCTCCATCTTCCATAAAAACCAAAACGGTCAATACCGTGTCCATGACATTCCGTCGTGATCCCAGTTCTCCATCTACGTCTATGTCTTCCACGTGGTCTCTTTACCTCACGTTTAGCGACTAGAATTGTGTGAGCTTCCTCACAGCATTTATGCGTGCCAAATGTCCGCCCATCTCATCCACCTTGGTTAAATTACTCTAGTAATAATTGGCGAACACAAATTAAGCAATTCTTTCGTCCTTTTTAGACCGAAGTCCACTCCTCAGGACCAAGTTCTCGAAGACCTTCAATCTGTGATCTTCTCTAATGGCGACTGAAGTTCACTTAGAATTCCCTTGGGGGGGCAAAAATCCCGGTTGGGACAGCAACACCTTACAGGAATTCAAATGCGTCACGCTGTAATACACGAACGTGTGGACTGGATTAATCTGGCTTTTACCAACACGGTAATGAACCTCCGGGTTGAAAGCAAAGAGATAGCCAGGCAACAGCAGAGACCTTGAAGATATTTTGGTGGTTTGTGGGTCCGGCATCAACTGACAGAACCCGCTATAAATTACTTCAGTCTGGTACATATTTCAATCAGGCGCCGTAGTCCCGCCTTGCTACAACCACGCTCAACTTTATTGCCTCTCTGGTCTCCTGTCTCTTAAATTATTTTAAAATTTAAACAAAGGACTGGCCGACATTAAGGACCTACTTAACTCTGACAAAAGAGCATCGCGTTCACATGTCACTGCAGATAACGACTGTTTTCCTAGAAGCCAGATCTCGTGGTGTACTTCAGGCACACAGATGAAGTCGTGCTGTGTGAAATTAAGAACTGTGACAAAGGAAGACTTTTTCGATTTACGAGTGTGGCAATTCTGATTGCTACGTCATCGTCTGACCTAATTCATGAGTCGTGTAAAAGAATGGATAAGAGAAATACACGTCTAGGGTTTTGCACTGGTGCTCAGATACAGTTTCTTACTAATTTATAAGCAATAAACCAAAAAGATTCTTCTTGAGAAGCTGATACTCGCTCACTTGTTCAATCAAACCTCAAGGTTTATTACCAGTCACCAGAATCATACTGTACATATTTGAAATTCATTTTAATACTATTTTATCATCTACGTCCAGGTCTTCCAAGTTGTCTCTTCCCCTCGTTTTTCGACTTCGGGAGGGGGGGGGGGTTTCTCCCCCCAGTAAATAAAATTCCACCGTCGTTCCATATTAACTCAGGTACCATCTACGGGATGGGCAAAGGACCACTAACGTGCCCTTTACCCATCGCAACGATGAAGGGGAGAGGTGGTTGGTCACATTTTTCAAACCTCGAAAATTTTGTTGTAGTACCTAATGAGGAAATGTTAATTAATAACGCTTCAATTGAAACACCTGGAAGACCCCGTCGTAGATGGAGGATATTATTAAAATAGATCGCGATGCCATGGAAAATTGGCAGTCAGAGGACAGCACAAATGAACAGCGACAGACCAAGAGCTACTGATACAAACAGAGGGACATCGTACGAAGGCTTTGGAGGACAGCAGTGACGGCAATGCTAATCATGTCTTTCAGATCGCTTCCCAAACTTCCACCCTGAAGATGGCAACTGAAATCTTTGTCGAAACGGTAAGCTTTCAACATTTGACTCTGCTCTTACCCCAAAGCCGAATATGTACAAAGGAGCGGTTGCATGACTTACGTACCCAAAGAACAAAGTACTTTCCGAATTTTGTCGTCAGTAATCCCTGGTCAGACAGAACAGACGTCGTTGAATAAGGGAAACGCGTTCTAAAATGTGCCCAACAATCCAATCTCACACCACACGCTTGAGTGGACAGCGCTCTGAACCTGTATAGTACAGGGTGTGTAAAACCCCAGAAATGAACGTGGCAAAGCAGACCGGAACATTAAAATGAGGCGCTCACATAAAGCGTCGAGTCTGTCTACAATTTACACTGAGGAAGAAGTAAGAAAAACAGGAGGTAACACAGTGCATATTTTATTATCATAATAAGTAACATACCACAGAACAAATTACTAATACAGAAATACAGCAACGGGAATTAAAAATGGCAGTTCATTAACTCAACAAGTCCAGAATTTTCAGTACTGAGATTCAATTACATGTAACACTTCCATACAGGCACAAAGCTAAGATTGCTTTCAAATGTATGTACTTCAATACAGACTAATGCAGGTTTATAAAGTTAAAAAACACCCTGTATTTTTTTTTTTTTGCAATCTTCGTTCTTTCAAATTTACTCCGAACTCATAAGACAGGTTGCAAATACGCATTTAAATTGTACATGACAAGCTGTTTTGTCATTCTTTCACATGAGAGTTACGTAAAAACACCATCACCAAATTTGAACAACCTCGTAAATCAGTATTCTAAGCGTACGTATTTAAGTAAGTACCGTGTGTGTATGATCAGCACTCCACACTGAGTCTACGGATTCATTCGAGTTCACAGCGTCGTTAAGTACGGTTAGGTTAGGTACGTCGGTGTTCATAACGAATTAAACTGATAAATTATGCATAATGGACTTCGTAACTCAAGGACGAGAAGCAAAATCTTACTGAAAACAGAAAAATATAGTCTTATTTATTTATTCATTCACTCGTCAATGGGCCGTTTCTAACCTGTAAATTCTCCGTTTCAAAATTACCACCCAGTGAACGAATACGAAGTTACCAACGCACGTGACAAATTCAATTTTGAGCCGAGTTGCCGGACGGCATATTTTAGCATCAAAGACCCGTAAAAATACATATTTTGGGGCCTACCCTTTATAGAAAGCAAGAATAACTTAAATAACGGCAATAAAGTTTAAATAAAAACTTTAAATTGAACTACGGCTAATAATAAAGTGACAACCTTAACAGACAGACATAACCTCAAAAGTAAAACATACTCAAAGATTAGTATTTATTCCCGTGGATTAGATCCGAGATGTCGATAGCGAAGGAGCGTGATTCCTTAGCAATACCAACTTACGAAAGGCAATGATAAAATTTTTCCTGCAAGTTTCTTAGATTTTTCCTACTGTTACAGACCTCGTGATTCTCGGTGTACCCTTACTTAAGTTATTTGCGTTTAATTTAAATATCTTAATTACATTCGCAATGCCCAGGACCAAAGAAATTATAACCTAAGTTCCACTAAACATGTAAAATCAGCGTGGAGTGCAAATCGTTGTAAAAGTATCGTACATTCAGTAACAAAAAAATATTACAATAAAAAACTGTAATTATAAATAAAAATCAAGGCAAGAAAATTTGAAAGTGCCAACTAAGTAAACAATCAACGTACTAAACGTGATGAAAGTGAACAGCAGCGAAGTTCAATGCGCTAAGACAGTTCCGGAACACACTCCGGCAATTTTGAAACATTAAAAAACTGACGAATCTGAACTTAAAAGTTCCTTTACATAGAAATTGCAAAATCAAAGATCAAGACTGTAATGTGCACAAACAATTATCATTTCAAAACGTCGTACCTTGGGACGAAGGTTCATCCACCCTCTTCACGTGAACATAAAATGCGTGCGCACATCGTCCATCACAATTTCTTGACTTCAATCGACGTCGGTTCCCGCATTCAAACATCAAACAACTTCTGCGTTGTAGATATAACATGTACAACACGTTACTCAAAAAAATGCCTGAACATACTCGTCATTCAAATGTCACGTCGTCTTAGCACAGAACCCGACGCTCGGATTAACGTAACTTTGCTTTCTTCAACTGCTGGATAATTAATTAATGAAGACAAATGATACAAGTAACTTGAAGAACTTGAACAGGGTTTTTTTTTATTATAGTACCCGACTCCAGTCCGTCTGCTTTGCAAACCAGGCATAAATGTTGCAAGTACAAGCACGACAGAACACAAAACTACGCTGCCTATACAAAAAGTGTGACTTACGCAGAGCGCACAAATTCTTAGGAATGAATTTTGTATTTTTCATATTCAGCATTGAAGGCTGCGATACATTTTTATTCTACAAAAGAGCCTGGAAAGGATGAGCACGTGCACCGTTTGTTACGCAGAGATGCAGGCATAAAATATCACATTTATGTGCACGAAAGTCTCCATCTTATTTACGGTGCAATATTTTGTAAAAATTTCTACTGCAATTTTGTCAAGTTACTAATTTTTGTTCTGCTTCAAATTACGCGTTTTTCAATCAGCGTAGTTTAGGACTCGTGTTCTTCTGGTGTCATTCGATTTTGAAAATACAGTTTTTCTATTATCACGTTGGCCCCATCATGTAATTTAAGAAGTAATTAACCTTTAAACATTTTTTTAAATATTCCTTTTAATTTCAATTAATAAGTAAGGTTGCACAAACAGGATTTACGTCAAAAAAGTGCACTGAAGAAGGTTACGTCATTATTTTCATTCTTTAAAAAGAAATGACAACGAACTAACCTTTTTAAAAGCTGCAACCCTATTTTCAGACTGAAACTTTGAAATAAAGAGTATGACGTAAATGCACATAAACATTTTATTTAGAAATAATTTATCTTTCGCGAAAACCGACCTGCGTAACAATGCCAAGATAAAGTCATCTCGATACGCGAAGCCTCCCGTTTAATACGCGTGAATACGCAGGAGACAAAAACAATTAAATGAGAAATGAACGACGAGCACGTATGGAGGCGGTGCGAAGCGCGACAACGCCGATTCTGCAGACGATATCTTTGGAAACCTGCGACACTGGTATTATCTTACGTCTACTCAATTAAACTGGTTTTGAATACTTCGTCTAAATGACGGACAACTAACAGACGACAAGAATAAGTCTGTCACGGATACTGCGAGTCTCTGGGAGATGCCAGCATCCATGACTTAATCACATTCACACACAGCATAAACAACTCACGATTCACAAAATACAAAGGGGGCGAACTGCCGGAATGGTACGACGACCATTCCTTCCAGCATCTTCACCACCTGAGAACAGAACTGTTCATCACAGTCTCTTCATAAGACATTAAGTTTTATACCAAACCAGCATCCTTGGCCATACTGTGGAATATGGAATCTTTGTTCTGTAGCAGCGCTTCCGGCGTGTCATATTCAACCAGCAGACCTCGGTCAAGTACTATTACCCTGCGGAATAAACGGAATTGTACATTAGCGACATGAATCACAACCTGAACATGACTGTCGGCTCTCAAGACAAACTTCGCCGCGTCGAGTCGGGACAGATGAACTTTACAAAGTGATGTGTAGAAATTTTTACGTTCCTACATAATTCCGCGTGCGACTGCATTAAAAAGGCTGAACTGTAATATATTATTATGCGGGTAAAGCAACGACGATAGCTTAAAAACTGAAATGAATATGCGACGAAAAAATATTTTCATGACTGCAGTAAAATGTGAACGGTTAAACAGCGTGAGGAAATTATCGCCACCGTCACAATCGCACATACTAAAATAGAACTGTATGACACGTAAATATTTACTTACCTGTCCGAGTCCATAATCGTGTTTAGACGATGTGCGATCGTGAGTACCGTGCTGTCCTTGAACTCGCTGCGGATTGTCGTCTAAACAAGCACATTTAAAACGTTAGTATCGTGAATTATTAAGCTATCAAACTGTGTTCTTCTGAGACATCGAATATACTAATATGTTTTCTGCGGCCACCGTAATGGAAATAGCCGTACGCTACGTAAATTATACACCACGACAATTGTTAACCCTTTCACTGTTATGGCTGAATCAGCGCTACTAAAAATAAGTTATGTATTACAGACAGATATGTTGTAATATTTCTACACGAGCGATCTGACGGAACACGAACCTGTATGAGGTCATCGGTTTCCAAGTCCACAGCAGCGGTAGCCTCGTCCAGGATAAGAACCTTTGTTTTCCTCAGGAGAGCTCTTGCTAAGCAAATCAGTTGGCGCTGGCCAACGCTGCAGAATGAAATCATAACTGTTAACCGCAGTTTCACATACATTCTGCACTTAGAGTCTACATTCTTTCATTTTTTATACAAATGGATCTTTTACATGAAATTATGAGTATATTAGAGTAATATTCTGATGGTATAAATGGCTGCGTGCGGTGACTTTCATCTGTGTCCCAAGCAGCCTCAGAGTTATTTACAAAAATTCTTCTGACGGTGCATTCTTTTATTAAAATTACATGTCTGGAAACAAAATATCAGATACCGCATCTACCACACAAGTCCACTTCTCTAGCATTAATCAAAATATTTTCAAAACACGCAACAAGAAAACCAGAAATATTCCTATCATTCTGTCAGTTTTCACTTGCAAATCTGTTCTTGAATAATTCAGTGTATAAAATAAAATATTCAGCTTACCTGAGGTTCTCCCCACCTTCAGATACGGAATGCTCGAGACTGTCGGGCAACGCCTTAACGAAAGCCTTGAGATGCGCGTGCTCCAGAGCTAGCCAAATGTCTGAATCAGAGCAACTTCCAAATGGATCCAAGTTGACGCGCAACGTTCCCGAGAACAGGACTGGATCTTGAGGGATGATTGTTAACCGTGACCTATTGTAGAATCACCTTATTACAATTACGCTATGCTACATCTGAAGATACGTGACATTTTCTTGGATTTGCCACATTTCTGACAAAATGCACACAAAAGTTTGGTTGGAAGAAATAACTTAAGAGACGTAACTGGAGATTTATAAGAAGCGAACCCTAAAAGTACACTGCAGGTTGGTAAGATCTTGTGGCGACTGAGATTAATTTTATGGTTCCATGGCAACAGATTACTTATTTATTAGCATAATTATAAATGTCCGGGAAACTCCTGGCAGCCGGCAGATGATGGATTGTAATTTCTGATTCTTCAAATTATTTCAAACTCTGAACAAAAGACATTCTTGGGTTATTCTTCACGTCTCCTATCAAGAACCGAAGCGATAACTACGGCACCATTAGATTGCCATCACTTCACAAATAATACATTGATATTCAATATTCATTTACCTCAAAGCATGGAGCCCAAGTTTAGAGACATCCACTCCATCGATAAGGATCTTTCCACCCGCAGCCTCGATAATACGGAACAGGCCCAATGTAAGGGATGACTTTCCGGCACCGGTCCGTCCAACGATACCAACCTGCGGGATAAAAAACTCGCAAAATTAAGGGAACCCAAAATGCTAGACTGCTCTTACAAAAGATTTATTTTACAAATAATTTTACTTAATATGAATCAATCAAAGCTCACCTTTTCTCCCCCTTTGACAGTAAAAGAGATACCTCTCAACACAAGGTCAAGTCCTTCCCTGTAGCGAACCTGATAGTCCTTAAATTCCACTTGTCCCTTTTCAGGCCAAGCGCTTGATGGCTGGTTTGTCGGGATATCCCACGGAGCTTCCTGTGAGATTAAAACTGTGTCACTTTTGCTGCCACTGTTTTCATACTATTAAGCGTGCGAATTCGAGTTCAAAGTGAGTCACAGTTTGGCGTGATACTTGGAATTTTACGCTGCATAACATTTACGCCCATTCAGAACCAGTGATCTGGTGTATCTCATCAAAAAGCGAATCACTGATGAGCCAAGTCAAAAACAATGCACGTGACGTTACTCATAAAAATGTAGTTACTATTATGAGATCTTGACAACAGAAATTACAATTCGACGCAATTAATTCTACCGAGATATGCGATACGTCCGTCCGCATCTACCTGTTCCGTCTCTCCATACTCCTTGATTCTCTCCACAGCCACGATATTTGTCTCCACGTCCGAGGTCATCCTGACCAACCAATTGAGTGTTTGTGTTATCTGAAATATCGTTAACCACATCCTCATGAGATCAGTAAATCAACGTAGAATTCTTACAGAAAATCTATTTGTATTTGCACCCACAATAATTTAATTCAGTAATAACACCAACAAATATTGTGATGAAGTGAATATTCACACTTGGATTTTCAAAATACTTCAATATGAGGTTTGAAAACTACTATAATTAAAAAGTTAAAATAAACTGATAAAAACAGAAAAAAAATTATTTTGAATTGTGCGTACTCTCAGAATAAGGAACATACAAAAGGCTGTAATTTCTTGGGCATATTAAACATAAGAATACCCTCCTAAAATTATTAAACACATTAAAAAAAATTGTGTAAGCATCGTAAGACCCCCTTCTTCTATGCGAGAAGGAGATAATTAAATTCAAACTATCTGCGCACTAATAGTAACACCAGAACACTTGTCATCAAGGAAAACCACACAAATAAACAAATAAAAATGAATAAATGAAAAAACTGAACTCAGAGTAAAATAATTTGGAGTACAGATAAAATTTAAGTTCTTATGCTGCAGTGCAGTGTTAATAGTATAATAGTACAGCAGCAATTTCCAGACTCTGAGCTATAAGGACATCTGTACCTGCAACGCGTAGCTGACGCTCAGGCCGACGAGACCCGGGCTCATGGTGTCCCTATTCAGAACAGCAAATAATGAAGCAAAGAATATTATGAGATTTCCCACCATTTCCAGTCGTACGGCCAGCCACCTGCGAACACACGCGTACAATTTGCAGTTCATATTTTATTCAGGACACATTTAAAGATAAGCATTTTACGCCTTAACTACAAAATAACAGTCATTACCACAGATGGCAACTACTACATTTATGTTCACATCGTCTCTGTGCCGAGTGAAATTATTTCTGAATTCTTGCCATCTTTAACATAATTGTTTATTTTTTTTAGCAGACTGCATTCAGATATTAAGAACTATACATGGGGCCTAATTATAAAATATGTAAGCTGATTACATAATAAATATGATTGCAAAGGTGTACTCATTGAAGTACACCGACATTTCCAAAGTTTAACCGTCAGTCCTGTAGTATGAGGATTTGAATCCTGTTTTCTGTACGTCAAATATTATATGAATGTCAATTAATGTATTAAATAATTGCAAAACTTCAAAATTGTAACATTAAAGTACCACACCGCCTGATAGCAGACCAAACTTACAAAATATTAATAACTGTGTTACAAAATAAGTAATGCTGACCTGTTTGCAATTATACTGGGATAATAGCAGACCTGATTAAAGTCTACCCTTTCTTCTGATTCACGTATAAACCTCTGTTGTACATTGTACGCTCGAATTGTTTGTGCTCCTGCAAAGACATCATTATGAGATTCTTCAGTTAGTGGTAACTGCCCAATAAATAAAAACATAAAAAATATAAAACAACTGCACATTTCCCATTCCAATCTGACAAAAACTTAGAAAATTCTTTCCATTACATAATTTTCCTGTCACAATCATCAACAATACATATATTTATTTTTCCAGTCTATACACAAAACTTGTTTTAAAATAATGTTGTTAAAATTATTTATAACATTTACAATATAAATTGCATTATGTTATATTTTATGGCGCTTTTCTGTGTCGTATAATATTACATTTATCACAGCGCTTTTGATTTCGACGACATGTTTCGATGTTTACCACATCATCATCAGGCTTATCAATTCATATATTTTTAAAAACTATTGTACATTTGTGCATTGCGTTTATTGATTTTTAATTTTCAGTCTTCATCTTGATTTGTAGTATGCATTTTGGTGTTCGTTATCAGGTTGTATTGTGAAATACAGACGACTAATCCACCAAAAAAAAAAAAAAAATCTCAAGTACCGTGATAAAGAAAAGAACAACATTCCACTGCCATCTTACCTGTTATACTTTCACCAAAGTGCGAGTAGACAGGAGACCTTGAAACAGACTCTAACCTCTTCAACTGACGAGATGTAGAAACATAGAATCGCTACAAGAAACACAACTATATGAATTCTGGAATGCTCTTCACTCTACATCACATTTAAGTTTCTAACAAGGTTAGAAATCTACAGAAACAACACAAGGAATCTGTAAGAAGACGACCGTCTTCCGGGTCGTAGCGCCATGAAGTCTGGTAGAAGTTTATTGATGTTTCAGAGTTGCTTACTGCTCCATCATCAGGGCAATGATGGAGGCAGCAAGGACCTCTGAAATGTTGTTAAACTTCTACCAGACTTCATGGCGCTACAACCCGGAGACAGCCAACTTCATCATCACCACGGTGACAACCTGAAATCTCAACAAGTAACCTCCTTTTTCAATCATATCACATTTCAGTATATCAAAGCAAGTGCTTTCATGTTTGAAGTAGGTGCTTAAGAATTCCAGATTTGCACATTAGTAAAATATATTATTTTATTTATCCTGTCAATATATAAATTATAATAAAACTAACAGTCAGTGCAAATGACACGTGCCGTAACATGGACGAATACTTACTGACACGTCTATAACTGAAGTTTAATGTCTCCACTAATACAGTGATATTCTGACATTAAATTTTAATTTTCAATAGTCTATTGATTTATGGTACCTATAAAATAGACCAGCATGCAAAGAACCTGTTGAATTATTTTCACATAAACTGGAAAAGGTCCGCAATTCCTATGTCTAACCTCAATGGTCAGTGAACAAAATGAGACTCAATCTGAAACAATTTTACTTCACGACTTCCAATGACGAAATTACGACAATTCCAATGAGCCAAAAGCTGGTGCTAACATCGCCTGCATTTTAATGAACTGTACAAATCATACCTGAATGAAGTAATATATGATGCCGATAGGAATAATCACAGATATGAAGATTGGAGTGCTGTAGCTTATCACCACAAGTGTGGCGACAACCTGCAAGTTTATACAGGAACAGTCAGTAACAAGCAGAAACACTGGAATTCAATTATACATTACAAAATAAAAACATATGAACTGATTGATCTCCAGAACACGAATTACAAGTTAATTAATTCACAACGCAACATATTAAAGTGTACAGCTGAAACTATTTTGCTTCTATCCATAAAAATATATTTTATGCCTCAATTGAAATACTTTCTTCAATGGTTCTAAAGGAAGAGATGTGAACATGTTTCGTGAGTTCAAACATTCAGGCGGCAACATTATTTCAAAACTGAAATACATGCATATCTAACAATTTTTACATTGATTCTCATTGTACTGTCCTCTTCAGATAAAATTCTACTGCATAGTAACTCTGGAGCTTGTAGAATGTACAATTTTACTTTATACTTATTTTCTAATACTTCCTCAAACAAAATATTATAATAGATAATTAATAACACGAAACATATATTATCTGAATATGATATAGTGATGGTAAGCATTACTAACAAAAACTATTAATGATAAGAAACCTCCTTAAATATATGACAAAATCATATTTTAATATACTGTAAGAAATTCAGAAACTCATAATTAACCAGTGGAACAAAAGTTGAAAACTGGAATCAAGCAGCTTTGTCAATTCCTTATCTTCACGTGCAGCTCGACATTTTACAAGAATGGGTCTTAAACATGTACATTAATGAAGAAATTTAAGTTGTTTTTCTTTTGTTTTGGAACACGGAACACAAAACAATTTCCTGCAACACTTTATGATGTAACAAAATAAATTTACGATAACTCATCTTTAAAATATCCATCCCTCACAAAACTGATTAATGACTATAAATTATATACAAAAAGATAAACTGGACAGGGAAATAAGTTAGGAAAATCACAAGGGCAGTTGAAGTTATGAATGCAGTGTCACATGAAAGTGACTAGAAAGCTTCAGTAACCATTCAGATATAGGGAACAGTGAAGTGCCCCATATACTGGAACAGTTACAAAATCACACACAACTAAAAGAAATTTCTAAACTACAAGCATTTCTACAAAACCAAGAAAAGAGCTAAGAAATCTAACACACATTGCACTTCCACACACACAGGCAACAGATAGAACTTGAAAGCGAAGGTTTGTAGAACAATTGGATTCCTAAGTTCTCTTTCTGTGCTATAAAATCACATTAGACAAATAAGATTACCTGGAAATACCACAATAAAATTATTGTTTTTTATACACACATTCATAACAAGAATGACAAAACATGTAATAAATGGCGTCTTTCATAAAAAATTATCTGTCCATTCTGAAAAACTGAACAGTGACCACACAAAAAAACATTTTATAACATAACCTTAAATGTTTTAGTTTACTTGCCTAGAACATGTTCTTCCAGAACATACAAAACAAAAGAAACTGCATTGAAACTGATTTTTAGAGGTAAATAAAAATGTATCAAAGCAAAATATAAAATCTCCTGGCCATTGTATTGTGGGAAAGCAGTCTTATATGCAGTAAATACATTACATTACTGATAATGAAAATTAAAGTACAAGTGAATTGTCTGTTCATACCACATTTTCATAGCAGCTGTTAAAAGCAGTGTTCTCCCTCCAACACTTTCAATGATATCCAACAGAGATTATTTATATGATTTCATAAATTACAGGAATCAAATTTCATGACACATTTTCTCTAAAACAATTTTACTGGGAAAAAAATGTACATACTTGCAGCAAAATCAAACCTCCATGTAGGCTATACATGATTAAAACATATAATATTATAATTTTATCTGCTGTTTTGTATGGTATGAAACTTGCTACCTAACATCAAGGTAAATACGCAGACTGCATGCGTTTGAGAACATGGCGACGAGGACCTAACAGGTATAAAATTAAGTGAGGGTGGAGAAAACTGCCTAATGAGAAGTTTCATAATTTACACTCTTCACCAAGTATTATTACAGTGATCAAATCAAAAGAGGATAAGATGGGAGGATTTCTTTTATCCTTACGGCAAACTACCAATAATCATATTCTCAAGCCAGTGGATTCAGATAATCACAGATGTGGAGCTTGCAACGAGCACCACAGAATATGCTGTCGTGATGCGACACATTTAAATACTGTAAGGAAAGTTTCAATACCTGATTCAAGAATGGAAAATACAGTGACACATTGCATAAATAAAAACTATTATAAGATGAATATTTTCACAGAACTTACAGCAGTGGTTTTTTTGATAAAGAGTGCTTGTATCCAACAGACTAAAAATTAACATTATCAATAATTCATTTCCAAAGTCCAACAACAAGAAAATTTATAAATTACACAGTCATCATTTCAAGACATTTACCTTGGAAGTTGACCAATGTATGCATAAGAAGTTTTGCCATGGGCAGATCAGCGTGGGGCACAGTCAATGAAGTATGAAATTGATCACTCACCTCCGTCGAATGCAGAGCTTAGGAATGCACAAAGCAATATTTATATCTCCACCCTGATAATGGAGGCAGCAAGGACATCTGAAATGTTGGTAAACTTCTAAGAGACTACGCGGTGCTACAACCCAGAAGACAGCCATCTCGAGACTCAATGGCGTAAAAACCTCAAATCCTACACAAGCTTTTGGTATCTTAAACTACAAATTTCATGGTAGGAATTGCCGTTATAAATGAATCTCATCTTAATCGTTTCATTACAACTGTTTACCTCTGAGGCATAGAAATACTGTCATATAATGTCTTACATATAAAATAAAACACCTTATACTTCAAGAACTGGAACACAATTATCACTACAAATCCACACTCCTCAGGTCTAAACTATATCCACTTAAAAATACTCTCTTCGCATGTATCACAGTTACTTCTTCACTAGTAACAGAAAAGGAGGCATGCAGTTACAGACAATGATTCTGTTTTGTCCCAAACAAATATTAAGTCTATAACATATTTACTTTAGGGCACGGTACTCTATTAAGACTATTTTACTTCGTCTGAACTTAATGCCTTTAACAGAATTCTACCTTTGATATTTTGCAATAAGATTTAGATTTATTTTGCTGAATTTTAAATTGCTTGACTCAATTTGACATTGGAGCAGAACATTATTCCATCTTTCTACAATGGCAGTTGTTTCATGTAAAGCTCAGCCAAATAAATCACTTATTGCTTATGTTTTCGCAAATGGCGGCACTATTATGTAACCAAAATTATATGAAGAGTCTCTAACAAAAGAAATATTAAAAAGACTTACAGTTATTATCGCATGCAATATTGTAGCATAATTTCCAAAACATAAAAAAGAACACTACAACCTAACAAACATCTATCTGGACATGCAAATGCATCGTTCAAACATCAAGAGACCAAGACCGAAAGTACATTATAAACAATGCATCTACAAGCACATACACACGTGCACGCACACACAGAAAACAGAAGACAAGATCAGTTAATTAAAACATTATATATATATATATATAATGTTCAAACCAATAAACCATAGTATAAACAACACACACTTAAAAAAAAACACAAGTAATACATTAATAAATGGTAAAACTGAAACGGTTATAAGTCTATGACTAGAGGTCATGTGCCCAGACTGTAACAATTACCTACAGAACTTCACAGGAATAAGCAACTTTGCAATGCAGCTCCCACATGTTTTTAGACAATTTCTCAATATTGTAAACTCTAAATATTATTGTGTAGATTATTTTTTTAATTCCATCAATCATTTGGGTGGTTAAAAAAACCATAACATTTCAAAGTTTATTCTACTTCTGGCTTCAAACTGTAGAGGTTTGAGAGGGCTTCGACTAGATGGCCCAACAGGCCACACTCTTGTCCTCCTGCCAACTTAAGACAGAAGTATTACAAACTTTCAAAATGTTGTAGTTTTCTAAAACATTTGACCAATGAATGAAGTATAGCTGATAAATAAAGACACACCTCCAAAACTCAGTACTGCTGCAATATGTGTCTGAGCCAAAGATGTCTCATAGTATGTACACAACATATTTAAACTACATTTCCTCTAATTCGGTGTTTAACTATCAATTTTAAGCAAAAATTTCAAGTGAGATTACATGTTCAAGAAGGAAATACATGGAATTTGAGTTTTTCAAAGTCAGTCCTAATGATTTAAATTTTTCAACATGCAGAATGCAACAATTTTAATACCAATGTTGGTGATGCACACCACCTGTTAACAAATTTAAGTTGTTACTTAATGCACTCCAAGTTCCACTTGAGTCACTATAAAAGGAACCAAATTATTTCTTATTAATATTTTTCCAATAACTAAATTCCTACAATACAGGATAAAAAATGTCTGAGTTAGGTTAGGGTTGATGTGTTTTTAATATTTTACTTCACTCCAGCATCAACTCCTACTACGGTTTTGTTACTTTCCCTCAGTAATTTGATATACAAATCAAACATTATTACAGCAGCGACTTTTGAAAATGTTAGGGGCGGGATATGGTGTCACAAACTGTAAACATTACCTCAAAAAGGCAATAAACCAAATCAGAAATTTGCTGGGGAATTGTTGTGTCCACCACATCCACATCTTTCGCGAAGCGTCCAATAATTCGTCCACTTGGTGTCGTATCAAAGAACATGAGCGGTGCTCGAAGAATGCCACGTAACATGACAATGTGCAGGACTCGTGCGGCTGTCCAACAGCCAATTTGTGGGGCCAGGTCACAAAAAAACGATGCAAATGCTGCAAGTAACACAACACACATAGCTTTCCCACCAAGTTCAAGCAAGCAAATAAAATTAAGTTACCATTCCATTAGCAGTTTTCAGTACTCTTTGGAGTCTTCTGAATGGTTAAGGGCTATACGTGTACTACACATAACATTTCTCTTGTGTATTTACATCACAACATTTACATACCTATGATCTTCATGCCATTTAGTTAAAAACCTATTTCTATTAAAAAAGTAATTATTAAGCAAAAAATTCTTTATATCTATTTATTGCTGAGTATTAACGTTATTTTGAATCTAAATGTTTTGAAACATCCCCCATTAAAGATGGCTTCCCAAAGCCACTTTTTTAAAAAAACACATGTTGTATTAATGTACATAAAAATAACTCAAAGCCTTTAAAAAAATTTAAATGCTTCAAATGATGCAACAATAATCATTTAACATTTTTGGAAATGTAGCCTCAAAGAATAGGTATCATACCACAAACCACAAATACCACCTCAAATAACATATCATAACAAATTTCATCCAAATCTGTCCAGTGGTTCTCAAGTTAAATCATGTGGACAGACGGACAGGGTTTGCCCTACACGTGTTCACTTCTTGAACATCGTGCACCACAAAACGCACAATTACAGCAAAGCAGGTTTACCACCTCACAGTTCTTTCCATTTCAAGGTACCATGAAAGAAAATATATTAACTTCTTCAGTACGTCAAGATGATATAATATGTAATGAAATATTTGGAACAGTACGACTGCAGAAGACTTCAGTGATTCAGTACGAGCAACTACGAAAGCACAACACAACTAGTACAAAGAGGAAGGTTGTCAGGTTGTGTTTTATGCAACAAACATTTAACAATAATATGACAAAGCCTGTAAAAGTAAAACTGCCAGTAGTTATATATTTATAAAAAAAGAATGTCCCCAGAGCTAGCAAACTGAAACTTAGTTTCAAATGAAGCTAAAGAATGATCATATATTAAGCACGCAATAAGCATGAAATATTGGTTACAATATAGAGTACACAGAGGACTCAAATGTCAGAGTTATGGCTCACGACAAACTCAAATGCTGAGTTAATACTGGTCAGATTACAAGACGTGCGTTTAATGTTTACTGTGCACATGTGTATGTGCTCGCGCACGAGCACACACGCACAACCTCTCTCAGATAGTGTGTTAAGATTTTTTTCAGAAAGCGATAAAGGATAAGTTCTGTAAGTCTGAATTCAAACACACACAATTAATGTAAACAAACAAACAAACACATATGTAATGACATTACACAATCAATGGGTTGAAACTTGAAAATATGAAGCAGATAAACCACACCATCCAGAATGAACAG